TCCTGCTGCTCTATATTTTCACTAATAGTGGATATAATCAGATTTTTTAATGTTTAACAATCTAGTGGGTACAAAATGATATCTCACTGTGGTGTTAATATGCAGGTTCTTGATCCCTAATGAAGTTGGGAACATTTTCTTATGTGTGATATGCAGAATTATAAGACAGCCCCCATGATCTCCTCCCCGCCACCCCCACCTTACTCCCATGATTATGTTAACATTACAAGACAAAAGGTATTTTGCAAATGTACTTAAGGTTACTAATCAGTTGACCTTAAGATAGGAAAATCATTGTGGGTGGGCCTGAGCTAATCACATGATTCCTTTAAAAGCAAAGAGTTTTCTCTGACTGGTTGCAGAAGTCAGAGAGATTTAAAGTGTGAGAGGACTTTGACATTAAAGAGGTTCTCCACTGCTGAATTGGAGGGGGCACGAGCAAAGGATCTGTCACACACACCACACTCTAGGACTAAGAGAGACCCCTGGCCAACAGCTAGCATGAAAATGGGGACTTCATTCACCAGTAAAGAAGGATAGATCATTCTGCAAGGAAATGGACTGTGCCAATGACAGGAATGAGCTTGAAAGAGAACCCCAAACTTCAGATGAGAATGCAGTTGAGCTACACCTTGATTTCAGGGTAGTGAGACCCTGAGCAGAGAACCCATTCATATCATCCCATATTTCTAGCGTATAAAACTGTGAGATAATAGATGCGTGTTGTTTCAAGCTACCAAATTTGTGATAATTTGTTATAGAGTAATAGAAAAGTAATATCATATGCTTATTGACCACTCAGTCTCCCCATCTTTCACAATGTCTGTTCACATGTATTGCTTATTTTCTATTGGGTTGTCTTTTTCTTCATATGTGGGAGATCTTTATATATTCTAGATATTAATCCTTTGTCAGTTACTTGCATTACAAAGAAATCTACTAGTTTGTAGCTTGCCCTTCTATTTTATGAAGAGTCCCTCTCTATGATAAACATTTAAAAAATTTTAATGTTGAATTTATCAATGTTTTACATGCAGATATCAATTTTTTGCCATATTTAAGAAAACCTTTAACACAACACTGTATATCAACTATACGCCAATATAAAATAAAATTTTTTTTAAAAAAAGCAAAGAAATCCTTCCCTAGTCTGGAGTCATAAAGATATTCTTATATTTCCTATCAAAGTTTTGTTTTTCATAGTTTGTCTTCAATGATTTTTGCTTATGATTTAAGCTAGAAATCCAATTTCATTTCCTAATCCCCAGAGGGATAATAATACAGTGATTTTAAAGATCCAAACATCATGTATATTGATTACCTCATTCACTCTCCAAAGACTGCACTGTCACAAATCTAATGTCCATAGATATGGGTCTTATTTTGTGCTATTCTGTTGCACTGTTCAATTGAACTATTCTGCCAATACCATATTGTCTGAATTACTGTATCTTTAAGTCTTGATTACTGGTATGGCAAGTCGTCCCTTATTATTTTCTGAACTGTTTTGGCTATTCTTGTCTCTTTGCTCTTGCTCTTGACTCCACATATAAATTTTTCAAAACACGACATTATGATTTAAATTGGAACTACACTAAATTCATCAGCCTCTTGGGGTAAAAATTGACATCTTTTCAATATTGACTCTTAATATCCAAGTGTATGGTTCTTTCTATGCATTGATTTAGGTCTTCTTTAAGATCTTTAAAAAAAATGTTTATAATTTCGTCCAGAAAAATCATATTAATCATTTAAGATATCCTTCTCCTATGGTTTTATAGCTATTATAATTATAGGTTCATAATCCCAAGACATCCTAAATGCATTGAAAACTCTAGTTTATTAGCTAATTTCTAGCAAAAACAATTGAAATAAGTCCACCTGGTGAATTAATTTATCCCACTTCAAATGAATATTCACACACCGATCTATAGAAATACTGATGTGATGCAACAGACCTTGATGGAAATTTCATAACACTACTTATGCACATAATACATTGTATATTCACCTTTCTAAAATCCAAAGAATTCCAACTACTGAAACTCATCTAGCTTAAAGCGTTTCAAACACAGGGTCATAAATATGATGAAGTATCTTTCCAAATTTTTTTCTGGTTTTACTTCTGTAGAAATGCAATTGACTTTTATATTGATCCTTTTATCAGCTCCCTTGCCAACTGTTAAAATGTAAATTCTTGTATTTATATAAACCAGGGGTCAGAAAACTTTTTCTGTCAAGGTACAAATAGTAAATATTTCAGGCTTCGCAGACCATACTGTCTGCTGCATCTACTCAATTCTCCTGCTATAGCAGAAAAGCAGTTATAGATAATAAACAATGAGCATACTGTGTGCCAACAAAACTTTATAGACATTGAAAATTTGAATTTCATATAATTTTCAAGTCATGAAATATTACTATTCTTTTGACTTTTTTTTCAACCATTGAAAATGTAAGAATCATTCTTAGCT